ATGACCAATTCGTTCCCACCACTTACTAATACGTTAGCATGTTTCACTAATTCATTTCCTCGTTTTACTAAATCCTGGCCACGTTGAAATATTTTGTTCCCTTATTTTAGTTAAATCAAAACGAGGGAACGACTTTGCTAAACTTGCCCACAATTTACTAAAATGAGACAACAAATTCCTAAATCGTGGCCATGATACATATAAATGTTTTTTTCCTGCATGTTATGTGTGTATAAACCAGTATCCTGTTTTTTTTCCTCCTTAATGGAACTCATAGTTCAGAACATTTGTGCACATCTGAAACCTTGCGCTCTAGCTATTTCAAAACTTATGTGTGTGCATTTGCTTGACAAAGCGTAGGATTTTCACCAAATAATGACTTACGTTTCGGTCTGTTTCACATTTTCTGAAAAGCTAAAAACACATTTCGTCCCCTTGGAATTATACGGTTCTATCCGCGTTCTGAGCAGTTTTGAGATATTGAGCTTCAAAGTTTTTGCATTACTGAGGAAAATGTATATGGGGAACAAGTTTCTTTCAAACATGAAAATAACAGGGACCCTAAATGTATTCTAAATATACAATATCAAAATCCTCTCAAATTTGTAAATTAGAATTATACGGTTCTATCTGACAAAACATTATTTGAACATTAAATATACAATTAATGTTGTAACAATGTCTCAACATGTGTTAGAAAGTAAAATGTTATCCTTTCTATGACATTTATTTAATATTTTTAGCACTTCCATGTATTTAGGACATTTCAAATTAAGCGAGGTAAGTCTAAATCTTTTGTCCAGTGTAGATGTTAATTTTTGGTACCAATTTGGTGGGTAATTAAACACATTATTGCAGAAATTGTTACTTTAATCTTTTTTTATTTAGACAGAAAGCAGCTACTGTAATACATCTGAGCCGGACTTTATTCCAGCTAAAGTGGGCCAGGTGAAATGGCTTTCTCTCTAGACATCAGTATGGCTGAAATAACATGCTAACGTTTATTGTTGTAATTAAGACCCCATCAATTAAATTGTTGACTATTTGACCTTTAAGGCTTAATATTGTAAAAATTAAGACATTTTAAGACTTTAAAAACTGCAAGAAAACAGACATGGTTCAGAAAATTAATTCATAAAGTTGAATAATCATTGAAAAATGATTCACTGACTATATAATCACAAAAATGTCAAGACTCATTTTTTAAAACAGAACTATAATACTCTATGTGACTCTCATTTTTTAAAACACACACTTATACTCTCTAAGACTCTATGACTTTAAGTTTTCTTAAAAACTTTACATTGTGTGCCATAATCCTCACAGATATTGTGTCTGCGATCTTTCCTGTCTTCAAGGAAAAAGCCGGCGACACGACATATAAAGTTGATCCTGATTGGTCCTCTTCTGTGCATTCGATGAGCCGATTGGCTCACACAGATAGAACCTTATAGAGCCAAGTTAGAGTTCGACTTTGCAGGTAGAACCTTTTTGTTTTTTCAATAAAAAGTCCCACAATGTACACAACTTAAAAAAAAAAATCACATAATGTAAATAAGTTGTCACAGATTAAGAATATGTGAATAACTCAATTTTGACAAAAATGTCAGATAGAACCTTATAATTCCAAGGGGACGATTGATTAAAACAGTAACCATAAACTCAATTGGATAAATCTAAAACTTAGAAAATCCAGCTTTTAATGTTGTTTATGTGTCTCTGTGGTGTTATTAATGTGCTTTAAGACAAACCATGTGTAAATTCATAAGTCGACAGCATTGCTGAGTATTTCCTCCTTAAAACTGCAGTGAACCAAAGACAGTCTCAAACACACGGTTTGAAATCGCTGGTGTTTCTGACATCACAAACGACCTTGTAACCAATCAGATCAACGTGTGATCGTCAACCAGTGGATCTCTGAGCTGAGTGAGTGAGTGGAGGCGGGGCTCATTTGCATATTCATAGAACCACGCATACTAAATGAGGCAAGGGTGTCGAGTTACATTCAAGCTGTTTTAAGGCATGAATATTTTTTTTAAAGGAAAAATATTTTAAATATGTAATTTTGGTGATCAAAGATTAGTTTTAAGGGATATAATTATTTACTGGAGGGGGAGTTTAAGACACATTTAAACACTATTCAAATTGTGCCTAAAAAAAAATTACAAAACCATTCCCAAGTGTCGAAATTTGTTCTTTTTGAAGATGTTGTTAGGTTTGGTATTATTGTATACAACTGACCAGTGCGTATATCTTCCACTGTTGCGCACTAGCCAGGGTTTTGGCTGGAGTAGGTTTGTTTATTAAGATCATTATAAGCTAATATATAGGATTTATAGCTCAAGGTCAACACTGATCTTGTTTCATCTTCCACCACTGTCCATTTAAACAATATAAAATGCTTCATGACATGCTTCTCTCGCACACAAATTGTAAACCAGCCAAACAACCCCTGACACATTTTCAATATTATTACATTAAACCGAGTTTGATTGATAATGTAATATTGGGCTAAGGCAAAACATCGATCATGGCAAGTATATTAATTATTTAATATTGCACTGTAATTCAGAAATCGATGCGAGCATGTTCAGGGCGTCCGGAGAGAGGGAGGGAATGAGAGGGATGGGAGATCTGTGCTCCCCGCAGACCTGCAGGAAATGGACAACATCTGTAGAGGAAAAAAACAATGAAGCTAAAAAAAAAATGAAAAGGTGAAGATGTACCAGTTCAATAAAAATTTATATTCATTTGCCAATAATGTCTTCCTGTGTCTGCACTCAGCAGTGTTGTGATTCGGTTTGAAGGTTATAATTGAATTGGGATGTTTTTCTTTTTTTTCCAGCACAGACGTTTGCCACAGAGAGAGAGACAGATACAATTAGAAGAATACAGTCATTTAGCCATAGACGAGGGGAGCTGCTAAATGACCAAAAAAATAGAGATGTGGGGGTGCAAAGATAATAAGCACTTGTGAAATTGGATAAGTGATTATAAAAAGAAAACAGAATTAGTGTGATGAAGGGAAAGGAAAGGGAGTGTCAAGAAGTGATATTGTCTCTTTTGTGAGTAATTGTTTTCTGCTAATTGCTCTTATTAAAGGATTACAGCTTCCTGTCACCACGGTAACTTGTTTTTAGCCAAACCCCTGACTCGTGTGTCTCAACAATGACCTATTTGTGATGTTTGTTAGCTTGCACTGGCCTTTCTGTGCTGAGATGTAGAACAGCAATCATCAGGAAGAGACAGAGTTTCTGGAGAAGGAGAGATGTGCTGGGACATCAGAGGGAAGAGAGGGTATCACATGGGGCTTTGTGTCCCTAATCACCGGAGCCATTTCTGGACTGCCATAGGCTACTGAACATCATGTTTACAAACTATGCTGCTTTGTCTCTCTCTCTCTTGTCTTTTTACCTCCTCTTTACACACACACACAATACTATAGTATTTTTGGTTAGACTTTATTTTATGGTGTAATTGTGCGCAGAGAAATAAAGAAGAAAAAGAGACACAATGGACCCTTTTCATGGACTGTGATGATACGTTTCCGCGAATCTAGTAAAGTTTTTCACATGTAATGCACATTTATAATGCTAAATATTATGTTATTGAACTTTTTCATATGGCAAAAATGCTGCTCCAAGGGTGTTGCTAATACAACAGCTGAGGGAGTGACGGCAAATGTGACATCTTTCTCTCTTCTGGCCAACGTAATCAATCTCTCTGTATTTTTCCCCCTCTTGTAAAGTCACAGAAACTTTTACAGATTTGTTTTCTTATGCTTTCGGAGCAAATGATATTTGCTGTCATCTCCCATTTCAAGTTTATGACGACATTAAGTTTATGCTCACCAAGGCTGCATTTTTTTCCTCGAAGTTTACCCTATTATGACGACTTTTGCTTCTGAGAACCACAGAAATGTGCATTTTTTTCATCACAATTGCAATAAAAACGGTAATATTATGAAATATTATTATAGTTTTAAACAAATGGTTTTAATTGTGATATTTTTTTTAATGTAATTTGTTCATGTAATGGCAAAGCTGAATTTCCAGCATCATTACTCCAGTGTTCAGTCTCACATGATCCTTCAGAAATCAGTATAATATGCTGATTTTGGTGTTCATTTATTATTATTATCAATATTGAAAACGGTTACGCTGCTTAATATTTTATTTTCAGGATTCTTTAATTGGAACGTTTAAAAAAACATTTGAAATTAAGTAAACTTTTGAACAGTAGTGTGTATATATATATATATAAAACAATTTTATTGTAAATATTATGTGCTAGTTCAAGTCAGTGAATTGTATGGTGTTACTGTTGTCAAAGCATAAACAAACATGATGGACAATTAAACTACAGTCGCTGATAATGTACAGTAAAGCAAAATAATTTTAGCACACAGAAGACTAAATTGGATAGGTCTAGTATTTTCTGTCAGCTTTTGATACATGAGAACATGTCTGTTTAGTCCTTCCATTGTAAAGGCATATTAATGCCAAAAACATGCATTTTAAAATAAATAAAAAACCTATCTCTATAAACTCCTTTCTACCAACTCAAATACCATATTGAATATTTGTCCTTTTTTGTCAGGTAAACAGATTCAGTGACACACTCTGCATGAATGCTGTGAAGTTTTACTGTTCCATACTTTGAGCATGTATATGAATGACTTAATGAGACACAATGAATGGTTATTTAACGTAAACACACACCCACACAGCATCTGTGTGCATCATTATTCCCATGAAGACCAGCTGTCTTTAACCGCGTCATTTTTGATTTCCACTCAAACTCTTTTCACTTGTATTGTGTCATTTTTAAAAGAACTAGAAGAGCCCTTTTGAAATGTCGTTCCCTCATGGAACGGGGTAAATACAGTACACCGTTAAAAACAGTGATCATGGGTGAACCGTGAGCGGGAGCACAGGGTGATGAGACGCTTGGTGTCTTTGCGTTATTTACACTGAAGCAAATTTGTTCTTCTGTTGCAGGGAAACCGGAAACATCAAAGCTGGATTAGAACATCTGGTAAGTTGTGCTTCTTTCCCCCTTCAGTGTTTCCTGAAACTTTGATATCTGCATCCAAAATGAATGTTCAGCAATTGCCTTGGAATAGCAGAGAGGTCTTTCTCCGACTCCCACACGATTGCCTGGGTTTTCACAACGTTTACTCTTTCGTTTGTCCCATTCCTTTTTTTACATTTCCTCTATAATTTTTGCTTTTGTCTTTTTACTAAAAGGTGTTGCTTGTTAGTTCCCCACCTGAGTTGAGTCAGTTGGGCAATTCAGAAAGAGTAAACACAAATTCACCAGTGGATTGTGTATCCTTTGATTCGTATCCTCAAGCTGTTGAATTTTCAGTTGAATGTACAGTTCACACACTCATGTCGAGCACACATTACGTCTGAACACATCTGGAGAGATCACAGTGTCTTCCCACTTCTACCGTCCTGCCTCCCTCTCTCTGGATGTAGGGCGTGCTGTTGGCCCTTAAAATGAGCCCTAGGGAGGGTTTAAAAATGTAACGTCCAACTTTTCCTGGGTTTTCTGCAGCCTTTCTAATACAGGGTCAGAGTGCCATGCACTGGAGTTAAAGGGATGCTTTTCTCCTCCTGGGTGGAATTGAGTTTCCATTTCTATTTTTTTTTTCTAAGGGATGAATAATGGAGAGAGGTCACAGCGGGGTCCTGACTCTCTGAATGTACACTCACCTCCCTGAGCTCCACACCCTGAATATTAAACGCACGCCTGGCCCTTTAAGGGTCACTCTACACACCTGACCTTACTCCTTATCAATTATCATGCTTATATTCTAAAATCAAATCTTTATCACATATTCCCTCTCATTCCTCCTCAAGATCTCTCACTGTTGGTCCTGTTCAGAAGCACAGGCATTAGTGTTTGTATGGGACATCATCAGTGTCATGTGGTGCATGGGGCGGCTAGTGTAGCCTGACCTATAATTGTGTGGACAAGCATAGATACTGTGTCCTCTTCACTATTAAAGTAAGCGATTTCTGAGAAACGATGTTGAAAGTAGATCAGACACCACAATAAACTTGTAGCCAATCAGCAGTAGGGGGCGTGTCCACTCATGATGGGGAGGAGAGAGAGAGCAATCAGCAGTAGGGGGCGTGCCCACTCATGATATATGAGTGGGGAGGAGAGAGAGAGCCAATCAGCAGTAGGGGGCGTGTCCACTCATGATGGGGAGGAGAGAGAGAGCCAATCAGCAGTAGGGGGCGTGCCCACTCATGATGGGGAGGAGAGAGAGAGCCAATCAGCAGTAGGGGGCGTGTCCACTCATGATGGGGAGGAGAGAGAGAGCCAATCAGCAGTAGGGGGCGTGTCCACTCATGATGGGGGAGGAGAGAGAGAGAGAGAACAAGAGGGAGATTTGAAGAAAGACTGTAGAAAGAGAGATGGATGAGAGACATTACAAGAGAAAAAAAGGAAGAAAAAAACATAGTAGTGGCACTTTAAAGGCCTGGAGTAAAGAGAAAGCGTGTTTTGAGGCAGCTTGTTCCAAAGCTTAGGAACTGAAATGCTAAACGCTCTTCTGACAACAGTCGATAGTTTGAAACAAGCATATTTTCAGAACTCGGTCTAAGTGTACAGGGTGTAATAATTCTGTAAGATATGAAGACATGTAACAAGGATGCTTTAAAACAGTTTAAAATAAAGTGTTACCAATTATTATTGCCATTGTTATCATTTTTGTTTATGAATTACACACTATAGACCCCTTTTCAGTTAGTAAACATTGTGACGTTTTTTTTGTGGGCGGAGCTTAGGTGGAGGCAGAACGATCCCCCTGGCCCCTTCACTAACGCTACAGTAGCTTCCAAGTTTTGTTAGCTTGTTTTTTAACAATGACTAGAGAAAATCCAATTTTGTCTGAATATATAAGATCACACACCGTCCGGAACCGCGCTTGAACGATCTGACAGGATTACCTCCACTGCACTTATGGCAACTGTAGAAAAGGAGACGGCACTGTGGCGACGAGGACGGGGCCGAGGGCCGTGAGAGAGCGGCGCGAGGCCGGTCGCTCATCAGTAATCACGCCACCGGCCTCTCTCACTTGAAAAACACAACAACAAAACAGTGCTGCTCCGCACCATTATGAATGCCCGTGCGGACGTGCACATTTTACGCTTACCTTTAAAGGGGTCATATAATGCCATTTTTGTACAAGTTAGTATGATTCTTTAGGGTCTAAATTAAAAGTTTGTAATATACTTTAATTAAAAATTCTCATTAGTATTGTAAGAAAACACTTATTTTACCTGGTCAAAAACAGCTCTGTTTTCAGCACGCCGTTTCAGTGCATATGACTTTAAATGATAATGAGCTTTGCTCACTCCGCCTCTCTGTTCTGTGCGTACACCGTTTGTAACACAATAACACAATAACCATAACGCGTTGTTCAGTATAAACGTGGGATTATGAATTATATTGAGAACATCATACATAGAAAACATGCCGTAATGTACCCTGAGTGTAAACCTTAGACGCATTCATTGTGAAGCGTGCAGCTAGCGATTTGCAAAGATTAATATAAATATTAATATAAAGTTTAATAAAACGTTACACTCACTTCAGTTGTTCTAGAGGTTCAGCAGGAACACGAATATCTGGTACCGATCCTTTTTTCATGAGCAGCTTCTTAGCAAAACCAGCTTAATACTGACCCTCGTTTATAAAGCAGTCTGGTGTGTGAAATGATTCGCGCAAACATGAGAGCATTGACGTTGCTCGTGGGGAATATTCCCTTCGAAAACAAACTCAGCCACTGCGTCTTCAGCGGTTCGGATTTAGGAACATTAAAATGAGTGCTGTGTTCGTTATTACACCCAAGAACAGAACACCACAATCGCTTAGACGCCATTCTGCTCATAGACAGTGCTCCAGCATATCAACAATGACCGCGCCGGTCTGCGCAGACTATGATTGACAGCTGGCTCACGAGCGAGGGCGGGTCTGTGTTGAAAGGCGCCTGTCAATCAACAATCGTGGGAGGGGCTTCCGACCGTGTGACGTCACAAAATCGAACGGCTCAATATCAGGGGAAAACATATAAGGAGATTAAAACAAAACCACTGGATGGACTTTTATCATTATATGATGGTTGTGTACAGGCACTGCCAACGCACATTTCAGTACAATCAACTTGAAAAAGTGCATGTACCATTATATGACCCCTTTAAATTAGCGATTTAAACCCCCCCGCCGGTGATACCGGTATTACCGGTGTTGTCACACGTCAATTAACCGGTGGGAAAAAATCCTCAGTCACATCCCTATTTTTTTGTCAGGCAAAATGCGAGAACATTTCAAATTGGATTGTGTACTCCATCGATTCTGGCACCCAACAACACAGCAAAATGACATTTTAAGCTTCTTATGTAGCCAGTTATAAATATTAATAGCAGGCAAACTAGCTGATTTGTATTGGCCGCCTCCAGTTTCCCCTTTGTTTTGCCTCCAGCTTACGCCGTGACGTAATAGTGACGCCGGCACAAAAAGGGTCTTTAGAGTCATATCTTTCAAATAACGTAACGTTAGTTCAGTGTCCTGTTAATGAAATCAGCAGTAATTCACAAGGCACCAATGGCACTATTTCCAGAGAATGAAGCATTTTTACAGATTGTTGACTGCGTCACAGGTTAATGTGTAATTAACTCGTCTTCATTTGGGGAGAGCGATGGACAGATGTGGAGGGAACAGAGGATGAAAGGAAAGATTGTGCCTGACTGATTTGACAGAGGAGAGAGTGAAAGGGGAGGAGAGTTTATGAGCGCATCCATTGATCTACAGCTGTATAAAAGGCACAGTGAATTATTGAAAAGAAGATTACATGCATAACCCTCTTGAATCAATATGTCTGTTTGAAAAGGGTCTCTACACACAATGTGCCAATCCTAGAGTAGAGACACCATCAAAGTTCATTCTGAGACTTCTGAACATTAGGTTTAAATGACAATTCAAAAGCCTGTGTGCTCCCACAAACGCACAATACATATAAAAGTTTATTATTTTAAACTGCATTTCATTAACGTTTTTGTTTTTTTGTTTTGTGAGGAAAGGTTAAGCACTGAATGTTTACTGATACAGCTGTTAGAAATGCTAAATTTGATCTTGGTTTTATGTGTCAATACTTTTCATTGAGAAAATGTGCTTTATTGCAGCTACTGTAGTTTTGGCGGGGACACTTAAGCCAAAAAGTAGATTTGGGTTTATTGACATACACTAGGGTATGTGTACAGTGTGCGTGATATGAATTTCGTTATCATCACAGTATGTGTGTGTATGCCTTAAAAAGGTATTCTTTAGGCTTTACAGAATTAAATTACAGTGTTGTTCCCATCAAAGCACTGATACGTCTAATTGGACTTGTGTAATGGCCTGGATGAATCAATATTCTGGAAATTGTTTACTGGTTTTTAATGGTACCATGAACTGTATTTTGCTTATCACAGTTGAGTGAGCCGAATCATTTTGGGGCAGTCTTTGTCAAACCGCAAGTGTCTTTGTCTAAATCGTAAAGGGCTGATTAAAGATTGGTGGTATTTGCAAGATTTTCACTGTACCCATCTTTTTTATGAATATTAAATTTAATTTTGCTGACCCATGGGCTTCGTCACATAAAGGAAGTTGCATGCAGTCCTGTCAGATTTTTTTATTTTATTTCCTTATATAATTATTTGTGTTTACAAAATGTGTGTGTTTTTAAAAAAAACATAAAATGCTAGCTTTGAAATACAGGCGTTTAAAATGGCATCTCCACTGACTTTTATCTGAGATTTTTGATTGTTAGTAGACAGATGCTAAAGAAAATTGAGAAATGTTTAAATGAAAGTTTAACAGTGCTAGTTGTGTTTTGTGTACATGCAGATGTGTGAGTCTACCAGTGCTCAGCGGTAGGTTTCCTGACAAATTTGAATATGTGAATATTGTCCCTGAGAATTTATTGTTGCCTCTATAAAAGCTTGTAGATTGCATCCTGCTCGTCAGACACCAGGTGC